ATACACAGACCGAACAGTGCATGCGGGTAGGAGTGGGAATCGTCAGTACAGCCTCCTACCCGCCATATGTATTGAAAGGACATGTAATTATTTTGCAAGACGGAGATGTGAAAAAAAAAAAGAAAAAGAGAGAGAGAGAGTGGAAAAGTGTAACAGCATGAAAGCAATAAGAGTGTGGAGAAAAGTAACATATGATATGAGTAGTAATTCTATGTAGTTATGAGGAGGCAACTAACTAGATGTTTAATTCCTGCATCATCAGCGAAGAAGAATCTGATCAGTAAAATTTTATTCAGCAGGAAGGTAAATTCCAGCAAAAGTCAAAAAAAGTCAAAAAAAGGATGCCAGGCTTTGCATGGGAAGGATAAACTCAAACGATGACTGATATTAGTCAATGCAGCAATTCCGAAATAAAAAGAGGTGCATTTTCGATCAAAAATGCCAAATTTGGCTTCCGTCCTCCTCCCCTTATTTGCCAAAGTCGTCCTTCATAACAGAGAAGCCGAAGGCCGTCCTTACGCAAGAAACCAAAGAATCCTGGACAACAAGTACTCTGTCGCTCACATCGAAGGAATTCAACAGCCCTGAACATCGTGTACTGTGCCTACGTCGACAGATATTCTAAATACCGCCGTCCACAACAAAGTCATCGAAGGGCCAGATATCAAGTAGGTTATCCACACCAAAGGTTATTTGATTGTTGAGTAAACAGGCAACAATTTATGGTTCCATACCTACAAAGCGCCGGTAGGTATGACGCAGAAGAGTAGCGCTGTTGTCGTGCAATGGGTCGAAGGTTCAACTCTGCCAGTGGAACAACCAATCCCTCTACGATTAATTTCGATAGTAAATTGGTACTGGTATATGCCAGGAAGTAAAACCCGTAGCACCAACTTGCTTGTAAGCAACCCTCAGAAGAGTGGACCATTGACAGTCTCACCAACGAGTGGTTGCTGTTGGCATTTGCTATCACTTGGGTTGCTCTTCCCGAGTGTCTCCGCCTCTGAGAGCGAAATATGGAGCGAGTCTTGATACTGAGTTATCCAGCAACAGCCGTAAGGTAATACGCATTTCATGGATTTCTAAAAATATACTCAAATCTAACCTTGCCATTTTTATGTTTTTTGCATCAGTGCAATGCGAAAAACATATATTGACGAGGGGTTGCCTCTGTTTGTGCCTCTGTGTGCGTATGCAGCGATTTTTAATCTTGCGACCTACAAAACCTATGAGGCTGAAACTATGGGAACTTAATCTACATGCATGCACACCCCTATCCTCAAAACGGACCCTCTTGCCCCGTGAGTCCCACGTACAGCTCAAGGAAGTTTTTTTTTCGAGTAAGTTACTAACTCGAAACTGAAAAGCTAGAAAGCTGGAATTTTAAGGGGATGTTTTCTGACAGTCGTGGTGGCCAGTCTCAGTTCTTTTAACTGGAAACATATGCCGGAAAAAATAGTGCCGTCAGCGACAAAAACTTGCGAGGAATTGTGCAAAAAAGCATTCTTCACACGGCAGCCGCTACGCTCGCCAATTACAAACAGACCAATATCACATAGGAAATTCCCGCAAAGTTAAATCCATATCAGTCCATACAAACCTCGCGTCTAATAACGAAATCACATTCAAAGCAGCAAAAGCTAACCTTCGCCAACCCCAAGTTTTGGTCCACTTTGTTAGCAAAGCAGCTAAATTCTGCGTCTACACCGGGCCTCCCAGCAAATTTACAAATTTACAAAGTAATGCTTTCATATCCGTAGAACTACAGAATCGACCGCTCACTTCACATGGGGAAAAATATTATGTGACGCAAGGACTGCTTTTAAATATGCGTAGTCACATTATCATTTTATGCAAATTTCGTTGCAAAATTTAGGCAGGAAAATAATGCATCTAAAGTTAGTACACAATCCCAGCCAACCGACCACCTAAATAGAAAGAAAAGAATAAAAGAGGCAAAAGAAAGGGCATTTGCACGCTCGTTTTATTGCGTAATTTGGAATTTTTCTTCGATTTTCATCACAGGCGGATCCACGGGAAGAGGGGGTTTCGCCCTTCTCCCCCCCATAACCCCAGTCGGCACAAGCACTACTGCTGCGAAAGCCCGGTTTTAAAACTAAAACTAAAGTAAACTAAAGCCTAAAGTGAAGTAACAACTCCATCCCTAGCTTTTGCATAGCCTCAGAGTGGAGGGAGACCTCCTCCCCCCTCCCCCTTTCTCCCATGAATCCGCCCTGGGTCCACCTACGATTTCCAGATCCTTTTAATGAAGTCCTACATTCCTTTAAGCGATTTTACTGAAAGGGACTGAGAACTTAACTGGAAGTAGGAATTGAAGACATAGGCAAGGTTTACGAAAAAGGGGAGGAGGGCAGAGAGCCCCGGTAGAATTTTTATGCTCAGCCTGAAGCTTATTGCTGAGGGAAAGTGGGCCTTTCGATATGCATTCATCCTTGGGATCAGTTTCCAGAATCGCAGTACCAGTTCTCTTGCCTGGGTAAGATTTCAGGTGTCGCGTTCAAAACTGTTAGTTTCTCCGCAGTAAGATTTATGCTGATCATAAAAACCCATAGGGGTATTCCCCTCTTCCCCATTTCCCATGACCCCCATCCCTATTTCCAATTCCTAACTCCAACTAATTTTTCAGCTCCCTTCCAGCCAAAAACCCCATGCCCTTCTCTTCGCTATGACCTCTAAGACCTAAACCACTACCCTTTGCTCGCCTTCATCCGCCTATCCCCCAATTTCGGCCCCTACTCCCTACCACCAGCCAAATTATTTTTTGGAATCTGGTGCCAGCTGAATGCAGACAAAAGCGTGACAAATAATTCATTACAGACTTAGCCCAATGTGCAGGGAATTTCTCACAATAAGCAAATATTGCTTTTTTGGAAACAGTGAAAAATATTCAAAAACGTCAGTGTGTTGCGCACAGAACTAGTGCAAATTTCAGATCGGAATTTTCATTTCATTAGAGTCGGTCACACAGAGCAATCCCATTTTCTCTATCACAAATCATCGATCATCCGCCAAACAATATTGCATAGAATAGAATTATGAAAACAAAATCTCAAATCCCGAGAACAGTCAACAGCCAATCCCGAGAACAGTCTTCCTAAAATTGCTCCTTCTTCCCCTCGCCCCGCCCCCCTTTTCTCACCTAACCTCTTCCCTTCCCTTTTCTCCTACGGCCCGCTGTTTTAAAACCCCCCACTTTTTTAACAAACCAAAAATACTTCAACAAAATGGGTGAGTGGCAAACACATAAAAACAGCTTTTTTTTGAGCATAACCTGAGGAATTCATCATTTCCTAAACAAGTCAGAAAAAGTGCTTGTTTTGTAAAATGTAAATTCATGGTCACATGACAGTGGTAATTAAGGCAACATATGATGACTTATGACACAAAATGAGATATATAAATTACACGACCTCGCAGCTTAAGGCTCACAGAAAACATGAAGCTGAGCTCGCATATTATAAAAAAAAAAAAAAAAAAAAAAAAAGAGGTTAACATTTGTTGAGCAAACAGAGCAACACAAAGCAGTACAAAGGCATACAAATTAGTAGCATAGCATTATCGTCAATCCAGTAATCAACAGAGTGATTGCTAAAAACACCAGTACGTCTAAATGGAAAGGAAACACACGTTTCACTGTGAAAAAACAGATCCAAAATACGCCGTACAATGAGAAATCCTGTGGTTCATACACAGAGACACAACGCAGAATTTTGCACTAAAAAGTACAGGACGACAAGAAAGACGCAGAGAGCAACCATATTTTTACAGAAATATCTCTCATAACTATTCGGATAGTTTGTGAAAGACAAACTGAAAACCAATGTGATTTTTTTTTTCATCAAAGATCCGGGAAACGATTCGCATCTTCTCGATAAGCTTTCGGTATTTTGAACATTTTCGACGTTAGATCATCGCGAAACATAAATTTTTGGAATGTAACTTTTGCTGATATTGTCGGTAGTAGAGGAATTTCTGGAATATAATAAGTGAATTACACAGCAGAAAAATAAATAGCAACGCGCACCAGACTAGCCGGTGCGATCATGCGTTTTGTGCAATTCAGCCTATCAGACGATTGCCTATTAATGATTCTCACTGCTTTGTACTTTATTCTATGCGAAAATAGTTCAAAGATTGGAAAATAGTTAAAAATTCCACGCATCAGTGCATGAAAGTTGAATTCGAAACCTTGAAGGGAAGGTATTCACCTTTCCGTGATTCCCGAGTTAATAGTTTTCCCGTCAAGATTTTCACGAAGCCGTAGGTGATACCCGAGAGCGTGCGAACACTGACTTTGAATAGGCAAGGTTGAGCGTGGGCAGGGGGTAATTACCCTAAAATTTCAGCTTCCTAGACTCCGTGGTTCC